CATCGATGAGAGAGAACATCGATCAGCTGTCTCCTGCACATCTCCCACTGGGGATGTGCCCGCAACCCAGGTACGTGCCCTTGACCGGAATCGAACCTGGGACCCTTGAGTCCGCAGGCCGACGCTCTATCCACTGAGCCAAACCGGTTTCGACAATAAAATATATTTTAAAAAAAAGAAATAAAAGTCAAGAGTTACGTAACTGACATCGTAATGTTAGATGTGATTCAAAGGAAACCGAGTGTATATGGAAGCTTGATTTATAACCATTTTCTAGCTAACATTTATCAAGTGTTGACTATAAGCCAAACATAGGATTAAGAACTTTATATGAGGAGTTTATTACAATAAGGTCAAATAGCCAGGGCATTAAAAGGAAATCAAAATTCAAATCCTGGCTTTTTTACAAAGATGGCGCTGAAAGCTAAGAAGGAAGCCCCTGCCCCTCCCAAAGCCGAAGTCAAAGCAAAGGCTTTGAAGGCAAAGAAAGCAGTGTTGAAAGGCGTCTACAGCCACACAAAAAAGAAGATCCGCATGTCACCCATCTTCCGATGGCTGAAGACACTAAGGCTTTGGAGGCAGCTTAAATATTCTTGGAAGAGCGCACCCAGGAGAAATATGCTTGACCACTATGCCATCATCAAATTCCCCCTGACTACCGAGTCAGCCATGAAGATGATAGAAGACAATACACTAGTGTTCATTGTGGATGTCAGGGCCAACAAGCACCATATCAAACAGGCTATGAAGAAGCTCTATGACATTGACATGGCCAACGTCAACACCCTGATCAGGCCTGATGGTGAGAAGAAGGCTTATGTTCGACTGGCTCCTGACTATGATGCTTTGGATGTTGCCAAAAAAATTGGAATAATCTAAACTGAGTCCAGCTGCCTAATTCTAAATATAAAAATTTTACACTGTAAAAAAAAAAAAAAAATTCGAATCCTTCAGTACCATGCTGTACCATTTCTTCCTGCCATCTGGAAACTTTCGTGATACCACAATTTCATAATGTATTTTGAATAGAATTACACTTTACTAGCTTAAAGTTATTAAATAATTTATATTTGGGCTCAAGTGTGGTTACTAATTGATGTAAGCCTTGTAGTGCGACAGTCCCTGCAATAAACAGTGACCAATAGATCAGCCAAGAGAAGAACCATTTAGAATTGGACATCTCCTGAACTAATCCTACCCTGGAAAGTTAATTGCTGACAGTTTAAAAACATTAACTGAATTTCCACATACAAAATGAGTTTTCAAAGGTAAAACAATGGATCACAAATTCTTATTTATAAAGATTTGTAAACCTTTTTCATAGCAAAAATCCAGGTTAGTTTTCCAAAACTGCACATCTAACAGAATAATTAAAACCAACACCTACATATATTAATCCTAGAGGAGCGATTTTCAACTTTTTTCATTTCATGGCACACATAAACTAGTTACTAAAATTCTGTGGCACACCACAAAATATATTTTTTGCCTATCTGACAAAAAAAGTATAATTTTGATTCATTCACACTAGATGGCTATTGTGTTGGCTGTCATTTTTTTCAATTTGACAATCTAAGGGAAAATAGGTCAGTGCGCCTACTAAATGGTCAGGTGTTACTTGTTTTAAAAATTCTTGCAGGGAGAACCAACCAATATAAAACAATTGAAGGCCATCTTGATGGTCTTGACACTAATTTTTATGACACAAATTTATAAACTGATTTTTCTATTTTAAAAATTAAAGACCTAGATTTTAAATGTGTATTTAACTTGATGTTTTTAATCAGCATAAAGATCATTTAATAGTCATTAAAAACAGTTGCCAGAGATAATCTGCATGGAGGAAAAAAACTTGCAAATGGCTAATAAGTTGGAAGCATTATTTTTAATATGTAAGATAATCAGAATGCTCACAATAAAATATACAACTTTTATTTTATTTTATATATTTTATTGATTTTTCACAGAGAGGAAGGGAGAGAGATAAAGAGTTAGAAACATCGATGAGAGAGAAACATCGATCAGCTGCCTCCTGCACATCTCCCACTGGGGATATGCCCGCAACCCAGGTACATGCCCTTGACCGGAATCGAACCTGGGACCTTTCAGTCCGCAGGCCAACGCTCTATCCACTGAACCAAACTGGTTTTGGCAAAATGTACAACTTTTAAAAAAAATTTTGATTTTGAGAGAGAGAGAAACAGAGGAAGGGGAGGGAAGGAAGGAAAGGAGAGAGAGAAACATCATTTTGCTGTTCCATCCGTTATGTATTCATTGGTTGATTCTTGCATGTGCCCTGACTGGAATCAAACCCACAACCTTGGTGTATAGCAGGGGTGGGGAACATCTGCCCCATGGGCAATATAAGACCTGCAAAATCATTTGTCTTGGCCCTGCCACGGCATTAGGGATGAGTTAATTATGTATTTGACCAAATATAGCAGGCTAATTTTTAAGTTAATAATTTTGGTGGCCGAAGAATGTTATAAATATCCAAAAGGCCCTTGACAGAAAAAAGGTCCCTGCCTCTGGTGTATAGGGATGATGCTCTAACACTGGGCTACCTGGCAAGGGCTCACTTTTTAAGTATAAGAACCACCCTGAGTAGCATCTAGATTTGTAATGAAGAATGATACAGTTTGGATTAAGTATCTTAGGCTGGATTACACAGTGCTTTGTACTCGACCTGAGGAAACACCTGTCCAGCTTGGTATCGTGTGAAAGTCTGTTACTTTTTGGGCAGACATATATAAAAAATCAGATGGTCTCTTCTGTACAGAAAGCATTTTTATGTTTTCTAGTTAAAAATTAATATTTTCTTATAAACCTTGTGCAATAAAGCAGAAGCAAATGTCTGATTTCTGAAAATGCTTTAACAGCTGGTAAAATTTAAAAAATTAATATATGTACTGGTAAAAATAAGTTTTAAATTACATTTTAATAAACTAAAAAAAAAATTTCTGTGGCACACCAGTTAAAAATCTTTGTTCTAGCAGTGATGGCGAACTTTTGAGCTCGGCGTGTCAACATTTTGAAAAACCCTAACTTAACTCTGGTGCCGTGTCACATACAGAAATTTTTTGATATTTGCAACCATAGTAAAACAAAGACTTATATTTTGATATTTATTTTATATATTTAAATGCCATTTAACAAAGAAAAATCAACCAAAAAAATGAGTTCGCGTGTCACCTGACACGTGTGTCATAGGTTCGCCTTCACTGTGAGCAATCTTCATTGCAACAAAACCTCCGATTTAATTCTAATTCCAAAAATTAAGTATTCAGTTTAAAAATTCGATACATTACAACTTACCTGTAAGACATTGTCTCCATCTGCATCCAGTGGAGCTTGAACTAATTTAATATTGAATACACTATGGGAACGGCTGGACTCACGATTCAAATGTGTGTTAGCAATACGTCTCTTTTTCTGGCCTATAATGACAGGAAAAAAAATAATTGCCCAAATCTGAACTCAGCCATTGCATTATATATGCTTTTTTTCATCTTCCTTTTTAAATTGATTTTCAGAGAGAGCAAGAAGAGGGAGAGAAAACAGTGATTGGCTGCCTCCTGCATGTTCCTACTGGGGATCGAGCCCATAATCATGTGCCCTGACCAGGAATCGAACTGGCAACCTTTTGGTGCAGAGGAATGATATTCAACCAACTGAGCCACACTGGCTAGGGTTATACACACTTTCTACTAAGCCAAAAAGTACTGCTGGTCAAATATATTTATCATTTTATAGTTTTCTAATTTTAATTCTAACCTTTCCAGAAAACTTCAAAAGCCTCTTCAGTAGATTTTACTTCTACTTCTGTACATCCTGCAACATACATATTATGATTCTTGTCTTCACGAAGCAATTTAGATTGTAGAGGTCTATGGGAAAGAAAAAATATACAAGTTTGCTAAATTGTGAGTTAGAGAGTTATTAATAAATTGAGTTATCTAAAATGCCAGGCAACATAACATCCATTGTTATAATGGGAATAAACCTAAGCAAGAACCCAGAAAAATATTAAACAGGAAACTTTAAGGATATACAGTCAAGATTAGTTATAAAAACTCATTTTGTTTTAAAAGTTTTGCTCTAATTTGTTCTAACAAAGTACACGATATAACACTAAACAATTAGAGATCATAGTAGTATTGTAGCAACATTACATGCACAAGTTAAGCATCAAAATTTAGTATTTCCCTAAATTTAAAAGATTAATAGACAGAGCTGATTCTGACCTCAGGGTCAGAAAAAAAAAAAAAATTCAGAGAGAGTTTGGTATGTACCAGGAGTGGCAATCCTTCCAAAATGGCTGGTCAAGTTTTAGTCTGTATGATAAGATGGGAAGGGGCACTGCTTGTTTGGCCTCAGTCTTGTGAGTGGTGGAGATAAAAACATTTATCAGCCACCATCACCCACTAAATGGCTGATTTTTTTTAGGAAGCAAGGAGGGGCTCATTGGTAGCAGACAGCAAAGTGCCAATGAAAAACCACCTACGTACAAACACTCCACAGATGCCAAACACTAGTATATCTGCACCCTTCTCCTTATAAAAAGAAGAAGAAAAAAGTCAACACAATCACATACACAAAGTCTGTGTTCCTCACGGGTGTGCTGCAACTGTTCCACCTACCAAAGGAATAAGGTAAAGTTACTGTTTCTACAGCAGCCATCTCATAGTAACACATTCAGTCCACAGTATGTGACAGTCACAATGAGTTGTATCTTAAAAATCCTCCAATGCAATATTTCTACATTATATTAAAAAACACACACACTAAACATTAATCAGTTAAAAAAAGCAGGTAATACACCACCTTAACAAATTAAAACTGAACTCAGTGCCAAATAAGCACCTTGTGAGTTTATTCGAGTTACAATTAATATTACAAGGAAGGCACACAAGTCATATTTGTCAGTCCTTTTGTATAATGAAATAAAATCAAGATAATAGGCTCCTATGAAAATAACCTTATTTAGGACAAACAAAAACTTGGCACATGTGCAGACATGAAACTGACTGTTAGCAGTGAATAACATCATAAAAGTTTAGAAAAAATGGGTATGCAGAACTGACACTGTTGTTTTTTTTTAAATTTTAATTAATATATTTTTATTGATTTTAGAGAAAAAAGGAGAGGGAGAGATAGAAACATCAATGATGAGAATCACTGATTGGCTGCTTCCTGCACACCCACTACTGGGGATTGAGAACGCAACCTGGGCATGTGCCCTTGGCCAGAATCGAACCTGGGACCCTTCAGTCCATAGGCCAATGCTCTATCCACTGAGCCAAACCAGCTAGGGCCAGAACTGACACTTTGAAACAAATGGGAAAGTAATTAGTCTATACACTGTTTAATGTAAGTAAAAGTGGATATACTGACAAGTGTTCTCAGTACAATGGTTTCCTAAATCCAACTCTTTCTCCAATAATGTTGGATTAGACATACACACAAAAGTTAAATATATGACACAGATTTTTATATTATTTATGTCCTGAAAGGCCCTAATGAAGAGGGCATCTATATATATAAAAGGTTAATATGCAAAGTGTCCCCTTGGGAGTTCGACCAGGAGTTTGACTGCTCACTATGACATGCGATGACAACCAGGGGGTGGCACAGAACAAAGGAAGGCTCTGGCTGACAGCAGGGGAAGGGAGGCCCCGGCAGGCAGCTGGAAGGCCCCGATTGGCCCTGATCACAGGCCAGGCCTAGGGACCCTACCCATGCATGAATTTCATGCACCAGGCCTCTAGTTGAAGATAAGCATTTAGCTTAAGAACAAAACCATAAACTCAAGAACAAAATATTAATATTAGACATGGGATTCCAGAGTTAGCTCTGGCATAAATGCAGATTCATTGTTTGTGATGTCAGGTTGTAATTGGTCTTCATTCTCAGCAGGCCAAGACTCAAGGACATGGAGTAGTCATTTAACTCTGGCAGAATGACAATAGAGATGTCATTTCATATTAATCAATGAGGGAAGGTCTGTGAATATTAGTTGTACAGACAACAGCTTTAGGCTCCATTCTGTAGAGATCACCAAGACAAATGGTTAAAATGGCTTCAAACTCCCAACACTCAGTGTCACTTTTTTTTTTTGAAAGGTAGCCTCAGGGCACATGGATAGTGACACTTCCTTTTTCCTTCTTAAAATAGAGCTCAGGGACAAGAGTTTTCAAAAATAATGTCAGGTTTCCTCCTTAAATGCTTTAATCCACTAGGTCCCCAGCACATCTATATACCTAGATAATAAAATGAATCATCAAGCACCAGTTGCATGATACACAGTTATATTTCATTTTGAAAACAAAAATAAGCATTACTCCTATTTAAGGCTCACTGAGGTGAGTGACTGCCCCAAGATTAAGCAGCTAAGCAGGGACTATCTTCACTACTTACTTAGGTTTTATGGGATCAAACGGCACCTCTTCCAGTAGATCATATATGTAATTATTATATATTTCAATATAAGAGACAAACACGCCATAGACACTATCCTCATCAACTTCTTCTGCTTTGCAAAATTCTTGAACATTTATCATATCTGCGAACTCTGGATCTATTTGTCGCCTGAAAAAGGGGAAAAAGCCAGAAAGTCTAATTTTCCACATTGTGAATTAATATCAAACATGAATGATCCCAAGAGGAAGCTAAAAGATATAGCAGAAATGTCCTGCCTTACAAGCAGAAATGCACAAAGAACTTTATTCACTCACCATCAGCCAACAATACTCCCATGTCCTCCCAGGTAAACAGCACAGGCTTTTACACCCTCTCCCACTCAGAGTGGCACCTTCTCTAAGCAGTGATTCAAGGACAGTGTGTTCATAAACAAAGGGAACATCTGAGCCAATAAAGTTACTTAAGAACATTCCTCATCTTTGATCTCACTAATGACCACTTGTCAGACAACCTCTATTTCATGTGCATCATTCCCTATGCCTGAGGAAACCATCAGGCAGCGTGCCCTTCAGGCCAGCATTGTAGACAAATGCAATTACTTACTTGCTAGAAGGGGTCTTTGGGTTGGGTATGGCCTCTCTTTTCTGCCGTTCTAATAAGGCATCAACTTCACACTGTATATCCATGCTATTCCTATCATTAGATTTAAAAACCTGAAGTGGGGGCAAAAGTCAGATCATGATTTTGAGAACTTGACTTACATTGTAAGAAATATATTTGAGAACTGAGAAATTTATTTAAACATATTTAAGGTTTCAAAATGTATCCAATTAGTTCTCCCATAATGCTACTGTATCCACAGGTATCTTGGTCCCTGTGTCAAGTGAAACTGTTACAACATAAAAGAATTGTACTTACATATCTTTTAGCCTGAAAGGACCCTACACTGTTAAAGATCATGTCCAGACAACGAGGAAGCAGCCCTCCTTCCCCTGGGGAACCAGTCATGGTGTGAGTCTTCCCACTTCCCGTCACACCATATGTGAAAAGGAGACCTACAACAGAGCATGTCACACTGGGTTATATCACAAAAGTCCTCCACTTGTAGTACTCATTGTATTAAAAAACACTTAAAATTAACCAGCTCAGCGCCTGACCAGTGTGGCTCAGTGCTTGAGTGTCAACCCATGAACCAAGAGGTCACTGGTTAGATTCCCGATCAGGGCACATGCCTGATCCTCAATAGGGGTCGTGCATGAGACAGCCAATCAGTGATGTTTCTCTCTCATTGATGTTTCTAACTTTCTATCCCTCCCCCTTCCTCTCTAAAAAAATAAAAATAAATAAATAAAAATAACCAGCTCAAAAAAGCAGGTTTAACACCACCTACCGAATCTGAATAAGGCCAAACATAAATCAAATATACAAATATCAAAAAAAGTTTTATCAGAGCGGGAGAAAAAGGAAAATACAACAAAACTCCAAGAAGCATACCATTTTTGCCATGAATGAGGTCATCTACCAAGGGATTAGCCACAACATCAAAGAGCTCCTTCTGGGTGGTATGAATGCCAAATACTTGTTTAAATGAATATGGAGAAGGAAAAAAATAAAAGTACATAAATGAATTCCACTATATCTAGGTTAGATATACATATTTAAACCCATTCAGATGTTTCTTTATGAACATCTAAGATCTAGATGCACAAAGAAAAAGTACAAATGGTTTTTAAACCTGGAACCCTGAAAAGAAATCCTGCCCTGGCTGGTGAGGCTCTGTTGATTGGGCATCATCCCATGCATCGAAAGGTTACCAGCTCAATTCCCGGTCAGGGCACATGCCCGGGTTTTGGGCTCCATCCCTGGTAGAAGGCACACAGGAGGCAGCCAATCAATGTTTCTCTCTCTCTTTCTCTCCCTTCCTCTCTTTCTAAAAATCAACAATTTTTTTTTAAAAAAGTCATGACCTACCTAAGTATACCAATTATAAATGTTAAATATTTACATTTATAACTACTGAAGAGAATGTAGAAAAATCTTAAACCCACTAATGCTTCACAGACTAAGGCTGACTTTGTTTTAATTAAATGACCAAGAAGATCAAAGGTATTATAATGATTCAGTCACTATACGAAAATCCTCACATATTTATTACCTCATTTTACCACTTTCTATTTTTTCTCATAAAGGTGTAATTTTAAATGGCATAACAGCATAGAGCTAAGTATTTTGATGTACTGTTTTTTTTTAAAAAAAGCCAGAAGTGAACTGTAAATATAAACTGTATATAAAAACCCATGAGTTTTTATATAAAATAAACTTTAAATTAATTGTGATCTTTGATTCAATTATCAAATCTCTTTGAAAAATTAATTATTATAAAGTATAACCATATTGCCAAAAATATTACCAAACTCATACTTGGAAAATTAGATTGGATCCCCAAAGTGGCTGGAGGTGACCTGTCAAAATAGTTTGCTTTTCACTTGACCCAGAAAACCCCACAAAATCATGCAAATCAAGAGGCTTAAATCTTCATGTTCACTTTAAGAATACCTGTGAAACTGTGCAGGCCATTAAGGGTATGCATATTCAAAAAGCCACCAAGTATCTGAAGGATGTCACTTTACAGAAGTAGTGTGCCATTCTGTCGTTACAATGGTGGTGTTGGTAGGTGTGCCCAGGAGAAACAGTGGGACTGGATACAGAGTTGGTGGCCCAAAGAGTGCTGAATTTTTGCTGCACATCTTAAAAATGCAGAGAGCAATGCTGAACTTAAGAGTTTAGATTTATACCTGTCAGACTGGCTATCATCAACAAATCAACAAACAACAAGTGCTGGAGAGGATGTGGAGAGCTCATGGGCGGATTAACCCACATGAGCTCTCCCTGCGACATTGAGATGATCCTTAATGAAAAAGAGGAGATTGTTCCTAAACCAGAGAAGGTTGCACAGAAGAAAAAAATATCCCAATTCTCTGGAGAGAAAAGATGGTGACCAGCAAGAGAGTGTGTGTGAGAGAGTGAGGGAGCGATAGAGGAGTGGGTGGACGTGTGGTGTGGGTGTGTGAGCGAGCTAGGGACAGTTAGATGCTGTAGGTCTTCCAAGGGGCTGCCAAACTGGGCAGTCTTAGATGGTGAAACCCCGCTGCCACCGTGGACACTCCGGGGGTGGCCAGCGCAGGCACAGAGACCAAACCATCTTGAGAAACAGAACTGCTTGGGACTAGGATCCTAGCCTCAGCACCACCCATTCTGGTCTCAGATGCAAACCGGGACGCTATAGCCACTAGGAACAAAGACCTGCGACCACAGCTGCAGACCCACAGACACTAAGAATCCAGACATCCTGGCTGCAGATTTCGGTGAGTCACAGAGCCCATCCCCCTCCCTGCAGGCTTGCTGCAGTGCCATAGGAACTGCTAGACCCACACCGCGCAAGCAAGCCTTCTGCCCACACAGGGCAGCTCTGCTACCTAAATTTGAGCCTGGGCGCGGGAAACTGGGAATCTGCTTCACGCAGCGTGCAATCGTGTGACCAGAACCCATGCCCACACAGGGCGGCAGTGCCACCTGACTTTGATTTTGGGCAAGCGGACACGGAAGTCTGTCTCCCGCAGCGCAAGAGTGGACCTCCTGCTGACACAGGGTGGCTGTGCAACCCGGTCCCCCAAGCAGACCAGGGACCCCGATTCTCTGGTGAGAGGAAGCACTGAGCACTAGTGACTTGACTCTGTTTCTCATCACATGCACCTGGGATCCCTGATTCCCAGTGCATGCACACTAAGAGCCAGTGACTCTAATTCTTGGTGCATGCGCATACAGAGACCGATTCTTGGCGCGAGGCCGCACCAAGCAACAGAGACTTGATACTTAATTCTCGACGCGGGCATAGGGGGACTCTGACTCTTGCCATGCGCTAGGGGACTCTGATTTTAGGCACACGCCAGTGGGGTCTCTTTTTTCAGCGTCACGCAGGCGGGGGCCCTGATTCTAGGTGCACGCACGAGGCCGCACTGAGCACTGGTGACTCTGATCCTGGGCGAGCATGGCTCCCACCAACCCATGGCAGTCACACGTCTTGGTGTCAGAGCTCTTCAATGACACCCGGGTGGCATGAAGCTCCCACTGCACATGGCCCAGGCCTCTCCAACTCGGCATTTGAACCTTCTGGTGATAGTTAGAATGGGGAGACAACGAAACAATCCCCAGAGGAAAGAAAAAGAGGCATTGCCAAGAAAAGAAATTAGTGAAATAGAGGCATGCAACATGACAGAAAAAGAATTCAGCGTAATGGTCGTAGAGTTCATACACCAGATGGATGAGAAAATCAACAACCTATGCAAAAATCAGGAAGAAATCAAAAGTGATATAGCTATAATCAAAAACATTATGGAAGCAGAGTACCAAATTAGTGAGTTAGAAGATAAGGTAGAGAAACAAGCCCAATCTGAACAGCAACTGGAGAAAAAGATTAAAAAGCAGGAGAGCCTAAGGAAGCTTTCGGACAACACAAAATGAAGTAACATGTATGACAGGGCTGCCAGGAGGACAAGAAGAGCAGCAAGGATTAGAAAATCTATTGGAAGAAATAATGACAGAAAACTTCCTGGATATGGGGAAGAAAAAAGTTACACAAGTACAGAGAGTCCCAAGCAAGATGAATCCCAAAAGACCCACACCAAGACACGTCATGATTACAATGGCAAATGTTAAAGACAAAGAGAGAATCTTAAAGGCTGCAAGAGAGTTACCTACAAAGGATCCCCCATCATATTATCAAATGATTTCTCAACAGAAACACATTAAGCAAAAGGGAATGGAAGGAAGTATACAAAGTGATGCAAAGCAAAGAATACTCTATCCAGCAAGACTATCAATCAAAATTGAAGGGGAAAGCAGGAGCTTCGAAGACAAAAAAATGCTAAGGGAGTTTATCATTATCAAACCAGCAATCCAAGTAATGCTAAAGTAAATGCATTTCTGTAAAAAGAAGAAATAGAAAGGAACACAGGCATAAAGTACAGAAATGGCTACAAACAAGTACCTATCAATAATAACATTAAACATAAATGGATTAAATGCTGCAATCAAAAGAAATCAAGTGACTGAATGGATAAGAAAACATGACCCATATATATGCTGTCTATAGGAGACCCACCTCAGAACAAGGGACTCACACAGACTGAAAGTGAAGGGATAGAAAAATATCTATCAGGCAAATGGAAATGAAAAAAAAGCTGGGGTAGCAATACTTATATCTTACAAAATAGACCTCAAAGTGAAGACCATAACAAGAGACAAGAAAGGCCACTTCATAATTCTAAAGGGATCGATACAACAAGAGGATATAACTCTGGTAAACATTTATGCACCCAATGCAGGAGCACCCAAATACATAAAAAAACTTCTGGAAGATATCAAAGGAGAGATCGACAACAATACACATTAGACTACAGTGGTTCTCAACCTTCCTAATGCCGCGACCCTTTAATACAGTTCCTCATGTTGTGGTGACCCCCAATTTCATTATTACAAATTGAACATAATTAAAGCATAGTGATTAATCACAAAAACAATATGTAATTTTATATGTGTTTTTCGATGGTCTTAGGCGACCCCTGTGAAAGGGTCGTTCGACCCCCAAAGGGGTCGAGACCCACAGGTTGAGAACTGCTGCTCTAGACAAAAAATTAGCAAAGAAACATCAATCCTAAATGACTCACTACAGGCAGTCCTCGGGTTATGTCGGACTCAACATAAATCATTTTGTGGTTACATCACCATCTCCCATTTACAGTATTTATATATTAAAAAAAAGTTCAATGTATGTACATATGTGCTTTATGTTTTTTATTATTTATTTACCACAAGTAAAGGTCAGGAATTGTTATCTTTCTTTTAAAATGTTTTTTTACTGTTTCACTTCATTACCGCTGTGTATGTGCTCCATGTGAGTGATGTAGGTGCTTATGTAGGTGGATTCGGACTTACGGCAAAAATCGTGTTACATCATGCCATAGGAATGAATCTCTGACGTAACCCGAGGACCTAC